CAGGAGGGCCATGAGTCCCAGGGAGTTGGGTCACCAGCGTCCCTTTGCCTGTTTGGGCTACTTGCATCCTGGGTTCTTTTTTCCCTTGTCTTTAAGAAGCCCATCAGCCTTAGGGAGCAAAGCTCTGATGATTGGAAAATCGGCCTGGGTGTTCCCATTTTCCTATCCCGCACAGGAGGCCTCCTGGCCTGGAAGTGGCCACAGGCCGTAACAGGAAGAAACGCCCATGCACTGACAGTGACTCCTGCCAGAGTCAGCCTCCTCAGCTCTGGAGGTTGGGCAGGCTGCTTTAGCTCTCAGGCCTCAGTTTCCCCATCTGTAAAGTGGGGGAGACACGACATTCATCCTGCCAGCGTGCCCTGAGGATTCAGTCAGGCAGCACTTCCAGGAGTGGCTGTAGCAGAGCCATGGAAAGCCATTCCCATGGAGAACGAGAGAGTGGCAGGGTGTCTGGAACCTTCTTCTCCACTCTCCCACAAAATCCACCTTTGTGGCCTGATCCCCAGGGAGGGATGGGGGTCTGGTGACTGGGAAAGACTGCTGACGACATGGTTGTCATGATGACGTATGGCACTCTCACCCCTTGTAGGATGGAGGGGTCCACACACTATGGGTGCCTGTGTGGAACCAGCAGGAGGTGGCAATTCACATCCCCATCACCCTGTATCCCAGCATCTTGACGTTTCCATGGCAACCAAAGACAAGTACCCATCAGTACGCAATAAAGGTACGTGAGACCCCCACTTCTGGGTGCATTCCTTTTGTATTTTCATAGGATTGTGGCTTTTTGTCCATTCTACTTTTTTTTTTCTTTTGAGACAGAGTCTTGTTTTGTCACCCAGGCTGGAGTGCAGTGGCGCAGTCTCAGCTCACTGCAACCTCTGCCTACCGTGTTCAGGTGATTCTCCTGCCTCAGCCTCTCGAGTAGCTGGGACTACAGGTGCACACCACCATGCCCAGCTAATTTTTGTATTTTTAGCAGAGATAGGGTTTCACCATGTTGGCCAGGCTGGTCTTGAACTCCTGACCTCAAGTGATCCTCCTACCATGGCCTCCAAAAGTGCTGGCATGAGCCACCACGTCCAGCCTCATTCTGTTACTTTTAACATTACTCTCTAGTGGCCTACTTTAAATCACAGTCTTTATGATTTCTGTTGTTTCTTGAGGTTTCCATCATAGCAATGCATTTTTTGTAATCAGGAAAAGCCCAACAAAAACCAATAGTGAAAAAATAGAGAAAAGAAAATACAATAAATTCTGGAATACAGATTTGAATTTCATTAACATTTATTTTTCTAAAAGTTGTGTTTTGAAAGCTATATATATCTGTATATAGATATAGATATATGCCCTTAGAGAAAACATTCAAATTCAAGGCATAAGTATCTCCAACCCCATCACATGGGATGTGTCACTGCTTTGACCCTCCTGCTTGCACATGGCATTAGCCTGCAGGACTCGCCTCAGATGGGGTTCGAGTCCTCATGGTCAGTGCAGGGCACGGCACATCAGGCCTGCTGTCCCCTGGTGTAGTGACTGGTGTCCTGTCTGTGCACTGGCACCGGCTCCCTTGCCCGCTCAGGTGTGTCACCGTCCTGGCCCGTTGGGTTCTGGTGTTGTTTCCTCTGGTCTGGGAGCAGAGGTGTGGTCGCTGACCTCCCAGCAGATGATGAGTGGGCAGGGGTGTATGCTGGGAGCTTGTGTCTGGTCAGGGAGGCAGCGCCCTGCAGCTGGCTCTGTGGTCAGGGGTTCTTCCCACTGCAGCCTAAGCTCTGGTAGGTGCCACCAGATTCTGGGGCCTCTGTCATGGGCCTGTGTGTTTGTGTGCATCAGTCTCAAGGTCCCCAGAATATGAGGGTGGAAACGAGACAGGACAGAGAGGGCGAAGGCAGGGAAAGCCTCCAGCGAGACCCCAGCTGACGCCATGTTTTTCCCTGCAGTTGGCATCGACTTTGTGTGTGAGTGAGGAAGTGGCCACAGGTGTTTTTGAGGATGTGAGAATGGATGTGTTTGAATGTGTCTATAGGTCTGTGTGTGAATGTGTAAGAAAGTGGGTATGTGTAGAGCTGTGTGGGTATGTGAGGATGTGTTTGAGTATGAATGGCTAGGTCAGTGTGCATTGGCTCATGTGTGTGTGAGCACCTATGTTTGAGGGTGTGTCCATGGTCAAGTGTGAGCTTGGGTGAGTGCATGTGAACTGGTGAGTGGGAATGGTGAGTGGGTGAATGTGAGGGTAAGTGTCGAGTGTGTGTGAATGGGTGAACCTGTGCGAATGTGAGCGTGTGTGTACATGTGCAAGTGGCTATGTAAATCAGCATGTGTGTGTGAGGGGAGTGAGTGGGAGCATGTGAATGTGTGTGTGAACCTGTGGGTGTGAAGGGTATGTGACGGTGAGCTTATGAGTGTGAAGGGCACATGCCTGTGTGAACGTGTGTGTGAGCATGTGAATGGGTGGATGATGTGTCTGAGTAGGTGAAGGTGTATGAATCTGTGAGTGTGAATGGTGTGTGAATGGGTGAGCATGTGGGTGTGAGGGGTAAACTGTGTGACCATTTTGTGAGCACGTGAATGAGAGGATGACAGGTGTGAGTAGGTGAATGTGTGAACCTGTGGGTGTGAATGGTATGTGTGAGGGTAAATGTGTAGGTATGAGTGTGAGTGTGTGCATATATGTGTGAATGGATGGGTAGATATGTGTATGAATGTGAACTGTGTGAATGGTGTGTAAGCATGTGAGTGGGAGGGTAAATTGTGTGTGAGTAGGTGAGGTGTGCGTGTAAACTGTAAGTGTAAATGGTGTGAGCCTGTGTGAGCATGTGACTGTGAGTAGGTGTACATGTGTGAAGTGTGCATGTGAATGGTGAGCATGTGTGAGTGTAAATGTGTGTGAGTGTGGGTGTGAACTGTGGGTGTGAATGATGTGTGTCTGGAGGCCCAGAATCAGACTGTCAAGCTGGATCATTCAGACTCCACACATCTAGCCCTTTTATACAAACTGGGAGACTGAGGCTGGGTAGTGGTGGTGGGGAAGGAATCACACCCAGGGTTTGAAGGACAGCCCGGGTCACAGCTCAGCCAGGAGCTCCTAACCCCTGTCCTCCCTCCCATCCGCTGCTGCCGCAGGTGTGTCTGTGTTGGGAGCGTGCTGCGTTCACCCCGCCTTGGTGCAGCTACAAGCATGACAGCCCCCACCCTGCACTTAGCTCACAGCCCACAACTCAATGGACACACTAGATGGCAGGTGCTGTGAGCCAGGCAGGGAGGGTGCTCTGATAGGAGCACCTGAGGAGGGGTCTAGGGAGGCTGACCAGGGCAGGAGCCAGCCACGGGGCCACCCCAGCAAGCCCCAGGTCATGAAAGCCCTCTGGGTATGTGTGGGCAGCAAAAAAGGCTGTGAGGCTGAGCACTGAGTGGGGGAGCTGCGGTCAGAGCCTTGGTGGAGGCTAGTGGCAAAGGTGTTGGGAGACTTTACCCTATGTCTGGTGAGAAGCCACTGGAGACTTTTTGGCAGAGCCAGGACCCATTACTCAGACTTCTGTGCTGGGGCTGTGCGGAGAGAACAGGAGGCCGGGGGGAAAGGGTAGAGAGGGTGGGGGCTCGGTGGCTGTGGGACCAGTTCTGGGGTAAACAGGCAGGAAGCCATGGGTTGGATGAGAGAGTAGGGAAATCAGGGAGCAGTTCCTGTCTCTGTGCAGAATCACTGGCAAAAGTTTGGGAGGAGCGGGGTCTGTGTTGGCCACACCTAGACTCCAGGTGAGAGCGGCAGGAGGAGCGGGATGCTGGGGTCTGCATGGGAGAGAGGCCGACCTCGGGCTAGAGAAATGAACTGCATCATCAGGGTACTTGGTGGTGTTTGCAGCCCCAGGACTGAACAATCCCCGAAACAGGGAGGAGGGAGAGAGCCCAGCAGCCATAGAGCCCCTTCTGGATTCCGTCCCCAGAAACCCCACTGCTCACGAGCCAGAGCCTCCTCCAGACTGGCCAGGCCCAGGGAAGGGCGCGACTCAGGTGCTGGGTACATGGTCTTGCCCTGGTCTCTGCTAGGCCCTGGCCACTTCCAGAAGCTGCTTTTCTTTTATTTGGCCATTTTTTTTTGGTTGAGGATCTGGGACCTTCCCCACCTATGGTTTCCTTGGTGGGGTAATGCAGGAAGGGTGACCAGGAGCATGGGAGGTAAGAGACACCCTGAAGGCTGCAAGACCCCAGCCTGAGTCCTAGTCTCCTTCTGGCTAACCCCCTCCTCAGGCCTCAGTTGCCTCCACCATATCATGAGGGCAGATGAAGATCCCACTTAGTCCCTGCCAGCTCCCCAAGTCTAGAATTAGTCTTCTGAGCCCTGGGTCACAGGCAGTCTCCCTCTTGACAAAAGCTGCCCTCCCCTCACAGGCTGAGGAGCTGGCCCCCAGGCCACGTGCCCACTGACGCTGGCGTGGGGTCTGAGCTGCATCCTTCATTTCCTGCCCCTGGGACTGGACAGCACTGCCCTGCCCGCAGGGCTCCAGTCCTGTGCTGACTGCTTCTCCCCTGCAGTCCCAGCCAGGTGCCCCAGGGCATGGTGGCCAGGAGCCTGGCCACTCTCCTCAGTCCCCCAGATGGCAGCTCCACTTTATGAGTGGCTGTACTGGCTGTGGTGCCCAGTCCTTCTCTCTCGCATCTCCTCTCCTCAGATTTCATGAAGGAGGCTACACCTGGGTCCTGCCTTCCTCCCTGACCCTGTCCTTCGGTCTCCACTAGAGCATCCTCCCTTCCCCCAGCATGGATGACCCAGGAGTGTCCCTGGCCCAGCCTGTGGCTGCAGCCAGCTCCAGAGTGGCATGTCCAGCAAACTCCTCTCCCCATAGTGGCTGCACAAGAGGCCGAGCGATGGCCCTGTCGCCCATGGCTGGGACTCCTTCAAGGGTATCACTTCTCCTCACCCTTTGACTTTTCAGAAGACCTAAGCTCAAGCCCCTTGTATTAGTCCATTCTCACAAAGCTATAAAGAACTACATGAGACTGGGTAATTTATAAAGAAAAGAGGTTTAATTGGCTCACGGTTCTGCAGGCTGTACAGCAAGCACAGGGCATCTACTTCTTGGGGAGCCTCAAGGAGCTTTTACTCATGGTGAAAGGTGAAGTGGAGCAGGTGTCCTACATGGCAGGGGCAGGACCAAGAGAAGTTCAGGGGAGGTGCAACATGCTTTCAAACAACCAGATCTCATGATAGCTCACTATCATGAGGACAGCACCAAGGGGATGGTGCTAAACCATTAGAATCCACCCCCATGATCTGATCACCTCCTATCAAGACCCATCTCCAACACTGAGGATTAAAATGGAACCTAAAATTTGGGTGGGAACACAAATCCAAACCATATTACCCTCTCTGGCATGGCTGGGCTGCCTCCCCTCCACCTGATTCCAGGGCCAGCTCTTTTGGGTTTCCTGCTCCCATCCCATCTCTGTACACTGCGGTCACTCCAGCTGTGGCCGCCACGTTCCTCTCTCCAGAGTCCCTTCTGCACATCCTCAGAGGGCTCCTGGTCCTGAGCACCCTGATCAGTGGGTCCAGTACACACAGCTGGCTGCTCCTCTCATGTCCTCCATGCAGCCAGCCTGGCCTGGAAACAGCTGTTCAGTCTGCACAGGCTCAGCTGGGTGGTGCTGTCGGAAACCCGTCCCCATTCTGTGTCAGGAAATTCACATGGGCCTTCCTCAAGCAGGTGGAGGCCTCAGTCTCTCAATGTTGTTCTGTGCCCTGGAGACAGTCCACTCAGCCAGTCCTTCCTGGGAAAGGAGCCCATCCTCCTCCACAGGGACCTAGCTGCAATCTCTCTTCTCACTTTTCTCAGGGTACCCAGTGCTCCGGAGGGCAAAGGCTGTTCCCTGGTTCCATGCCCCTGCCAGCCTCCCGGCAAAGAAACTCATCCAGGCTCACCGTTTCCTCCTAGACACAATTTCTTCCTCTCTAGGGCTTATTCCCTCGTCAGGGTGACAAAATGGGGTGTGTGTGTGTGAAAGGGGTGAGCTGGAGAAGAAGGGAGGCGCTGCCAGCCCTCACTCAGAGAAGCCTGCTTGGGTCCAAGGCCACAAATGCACCCACCCACCCCCTTTTCAGGGCCTCTTGCTCTGTCCACCTGTAAATGTGCCTATCCCTCACTCTGGGAACCCCAATTCGCCAGCGTCCTGTTCCCCCTCACCCCTCCATCGCTTTTCTATGCTGGGCCTCTGGAGACTGTTTCCTGCCTGCATCCCTGCCACCCCCCAGCCCCAACCCCACTCCTGTGCCCTACACATCACCTACCCCCAAAGGGATCCCCTCTCCTACCCGAGCATCTTACTCTGGTCTCAGCTTCCCCAAGTGGAGGCTGCACTGGCTTCGACAAAAACTGTCCTGTGCCTCCTCTGCACCCCCAATACGGGAATCAGCAGAGATCGAGCCGCCAGGCTTGCACAAGCCCCCCGGGGAGGGTGGGGCCCCGGACCCGGGACCCTCTCCAGGACATGGTCTCCTTTGCTGTGTTGCCGCCATCATTTCCCTGTGCACGGGAGAGGGGGAGGGGTGCGCCCAGGAACTACGAGCTAATCTCTTCCCCATCCTCTCACAGGAACGCCTCTGGGGGTCATAACCTCACCCCCGCCCACCCTGTCCCACCCTGGAGTCCCCATTTGGCTTTGGGAGGACCGGCGGCAACTACTTGTGGATCACAAAATGAGGCCATGGGAACATCAGCGGCAACGGGGTAGGGGGAGAGGCGAGGCAGTGTCCCCAGAGAGGCCCTGCTGTCGTCCTCCATTTCCCGGGTTGTGCCTAGGCCCCCAGAGGCACAACCAGACCCCAGGGTGCAGCTGGAGAGTGCCTCCCATCCGCCATCCGCTTTGGAAGGGGCGGAAAACCCCCGAGGATGTCCTAGCGCAGTTCACGTTGCCCCAGCCGACCACGTGAGGGCGCGCCCTGTGTTAGTTTGGACAAATTAAAGCTCCTCTTGCGGGCAGGCCTGGAGCCCCCGGGGCCGGAGCAGGGCTCGGGTGCCCGTGGCCTTCTCTGGGCTGCCGGCCGCCAAGCTCCCGGCCGTGGGGCCTCCCCTGGGGCCCGCGCTATTGGCCTCCAAACGAAGTGCCCCCCTCCTCTCGCGCTCCCGCAGCCTAGGGTGCACCTCTCCGTTCGCCTTTGCTGAGCCCTTCCAGGACGCAAGCCGCCTCTCCACTGCGCCAGGAGCTCAAGCCCCGTCCGAGGCGCCCCGCTGCGGGCGCCGCGGCGCTGGTGAGGCGCGATCCGAGAAGCCAGCGGCCCAAGAAGGGGCTCCAAGAAGCACAAGTTGGCGCTGGCCCCGGACCAGGCTGTTGTTGTTCTCAACGTGGTCCGCCATGAAGCTATAAAAAGCCGAGAGAAGCGCCCTCCCGCCAGAGCGCAGCGCGCACGCCCAGCGAGTTCCAGAGGAGCCAGTGGAAGCTGCGGCGGTGTCTCGCGTTCGGCGGGATTTCTCTTCGCTCGAACTCGGC